ACCTTCCAGTAAGTGGTCGCTTCTCTGTTCAGAGAGTTGTTGCTACTCTCTTCTTCGGTCTCCTGTTGAGTTTGTAGGTGTTCAGAATGGTTTGATCCCTATTCAGCTGAATTCCTGAGACCAGACAAAATCCAGGTCTCCTACTCCTCCGCCATCTTGCTCTGCCGGAAATAAACTATTTTGATAAATATATTACAATACACGTGTAGCGCTTTTCATTCATTCACTCATTTATTCAACAAATATTTACTTCATTACTACCTTGCAGCAGGCACTGTTCATTCTAGGTACGGGGAATTGACAAAACAGACAAAAATCCCTGCCTTCTTACAGTTCACCTTCTAGTAGAGGCATGGAAGGAGATGGGACAATGAGCAAAATAAGTAAGTTAAATACACAGTATGTTAGAAGTGATAGCTGAAGAAGTTAGTTGTAATTTTTTAAAGGGTGGTCAAAATGGCAATATATTATGACATGTAAACCTTATAACAGCCTTATTTTTCACATGGGAAAACTGGTGCACAGTGAAATTAATTCACTTGTCTCCCAAGGGCACACAGTAAGAGGTTAAGAAGAGCTTTGAACCCATGGAGTTGGCCTCGGTATCCATGTCCTTAGCCATTATTCTATGCTGCTTCCAGTAGAATCCTTGTACTATGCTCCCATTCTAATCATAACAAAAAACACTGTTACCATATTTATTAGATATGTCAAATCGAACATTTAAAAGCTGCAACATACATTTTCCTTTGGGGAATTTTCCTGCAATGACTGGCCTAATTAAGTCTTCTTAAAGAGTAAGTCCAACAATATTTGGGCTGAAGATGTTATGTTAGTGTTCAATTGATGCCTTAGCAACTCAGCATGCATTTTGTGGCTTAGATTATCTCACAGTTCTTAGTTCAGTAGTCCTATGGGCTTACCTGGTTTCTCTGCTTGAGTCTCACAAGGCCAATATCAAAGGGTCAGCAGGGCAGTGTTCCCTTCTGGAAACTCTGAGGGCAGAATCCATTTCCAGATTCTTTGAGGTCATTGGTAGAATCTAGTTCCTTACGGCTCTAGGACAGATGTCCCTGCTTCTTTGCAGTCTGTCATCTGGGACCCACTTCCAGCTCCCACAGCTGCTCCTCCATCCTTGCAGGCAGGCACTCATCTCAGAGCCGAAGTACATGTCAATTGCTCTCTTGATGCTGCGTCTCTCTGATCAGCTCTACTTCCTTTTCTACTTTTGAGGGCTTTTGTGATTGATTGCATTGGCCCACCAGGATAATCCAGAATCAGCTCTTTAAAGTCTGCTGATTAGTGACCTTCATTCCATCGCAAAGTCCCTTCCCAGTGGTACCTAGATTAATGTTTGATTGAATAACAAAAGAGACAGGAATCTTGGAAGGACTTCTTTAAATTCTGCTTCTAGATGTTATCTTCTTTTCTTCATTTGTAAAAAGCAGAGACATTCTTCATTGCCCAGAGTCTTTGAACTGCATTCAAAATTAAATTAGAAAAATGTCAAAGCTCTTTGGAAGCATGACTGCCTCTAAATATCTGAATGGTAATCACTGGCAGGGGGGCAGTTTCATAGCCAACTTCTTCAGTGACCCTTTGTTCCCTGTTTCTTGTGTCCTGAACAAATAGCCTTCCTCTTTGATGTTCACAGCTACACTTTCTGAAAAATTCTGATTTTCAGAATTTTGGGTGATTCCTGCAGCTTCCTCCTGGAATCTGATCGCTTTCTTATTTCCCCATCCATGCCTATCTATTCTTTTCCTGAAGTGACTCAGTCATCGTGTAGTCACCCTAAAACCTTTTTCTATTGATGGCCCATGGGAATTATTATTATTTTTAAAATAATCTCTACCACCAACATGGGGCTCAAACTCAGGACCCCGAGATCAAGAGTCACGAGCTCTATGTACTGAGCCAGCCAGGCGCCCCCCTCCATGGGAATTATTCTTAAGCATTTTAAAGGGCAACAGGATTGATGGAAATCATGGCTTGGTTTGGAGGCATCTGATTTCTGCATCCATGTAATCAAAGGTCTTCTTCCACCCAAGGTACTAGCTCATTATGATAAGAATTTCTAATGATGAGGGAACAAAAGGCAAGTTGAGGACAAAGCAGAAGCTGACACCTCACAACCCCCACCATGGGATATATGTGACATTCCTCATGCATTCCTGGCTGCCCTAAAGCTAAGGAAAGGAAAAACAAATAGTTAACTTCTAGAGATCATAATCCTGCAAGACATGAGTCTCCCTCAGTTTACAAATGTCTTAGCAATCTACAAGAACAAAGCATTTCTATCAATAACCTAGCTTCCAGAAGGAAATGTAAATACAATTTATAACCTGCAGCTCATTGACAGATACTTGAAGTGGGCAGAGTGTAATGTTTCTCCAGGAAGCTCCTAACTATCTTATTTATTTATTTATTTATTTATTT